CCAACAGGTCATGGTCACTGAATGAAACCTATGTGTTCAAATGAGCATGTGGAAAGAACATAAGATAAAGCTTTTGAAGAACTGGGCTTTCTAGTTCTGTTTGGGCATGCTTCCTTGTGCCTTATGTTAATAAAAGTTGTTATTCTTTTATGTTAGAGTATAGCGTTCCTTCAAAGAAAGGTTCCAAATCAAAATGTGTTACTCTATAATACTAGCTTGGCTAAACACTAGTTTTGTTTAGAATTAAGGTATTTATCCTAGTTATTCAGTATCACATTTTTCATTGCTATGTTAAACATGGCCATGTTGAAATTACAGATTGGAATGCTGTGTATTTGGTGCAATTTTCATATATATGGGATTTGAATGAGAATTATTGCACAGACTATTATATAGACTGTACTTGACCATGGGACTCTGCTTCATATTTGTAGTCATCAATCATCAGTCATATGACAACTATGCCTGTAATATTGTAAAATATGCTGTAATATTCTAATTCTTATGGCTTAGAACCAAGCTAGAAGACAGAATTTTGACAGTCTTGTTCTAAGATGATTACATGTTTTGTATTTGGTTTCTAAAGCAGTAATGTACAACTAAAGTTGTATTTTAAGAGGTATTCTCTTTTTCATTTGGCCTCATCATTAATATCTGATTAGTGATGTTGCAGCTTTTATCTTAAAGAACAGTATGTGCAAACCAAACTTATTTTAGGTCTGCGAGGCCTCATGAATGGTTTTTGGAGATGTGAGGCTGCAATAGCAGATTTCTTCAGAGTGAGTGTGTGTGTGTTTGTGTGTGTGTGCACACATGTGTGCACGCGGGCACATGCACTGTCTTCTCTTTTACCCTATACCTGCACACACATGCATGTAGACTGCTCAGAACCCCTAATCTTCCCTAGAGAGGGAAGAACATCAGCTTTAAGTGGGAGGAGTGTGTCAGTATAGAAAAGTAAAGACATTTAGAGAACCAGCTACTAAATGTCTTTACTGAGGGGAATCTGGTTATCAGGTTTTTCTCGAAGATGTTGGTTTTCCCTCAAACACTGCTTTTCTAGCTCACCAAGGCTGATTTTCTCTTTTCCTGTGCTTTCTCCTTTCTTTCTCACTTTAATTCTGCTTTCCCTTCATTCTCATGCTACCTGTCAGTCTTCTTAGCAGGTGGTTTGGCAGAACCCTCACTCTGTGTCATGTGTCCTCAACAAGGGGCAGAATACGCAGGCTGGTGCTGTTTCTTCCCCAGGGGTGTATCTGAAAGGTGGACACTGGCAGCCCTCAGCAGCCACAAGAGTGACTTGTTTTTATTTTTCAGACCTGCACGTGTCATCCTCTGTTCCCTTCATTCCTCCTGTGATCTCACACAAACTCTGCATTTCTTTCCCTGCTCATCTTATTTTAATAAAGCAAGAGGCTAGAACTACCTACTGTCACTGAGTGGTGTTTTATTACTTGTCGCTCGGACTTGTTGGACACGCCTGGCTCCCTTGGGGGTGGTGGGTTCTCACTGAGCGCATAGTCCACTCAGGGCCTGCACTGCTTGCTGCTCTGTGTTCAGTCATCTGCATGAGGCCTTGCCGGAGGGTGAGGCTGTCGTGTGAGAGGTAATCCTTCTCTGCCTAACTGTGCTGGGCGATTTATGTTTGCAAGTAGTTTCTAGAAAAGAAACAGCCTTTCCTAGTAATTAGTTGGAATACTATCAGTCAGTTCTCTTTTCTTCCCTCCCATTTTTACAAATGAGCAAACTGAGGCCCAGAGAAGTGAGGTCAGTTACGTGAGGTCATATAGTTAGTGGAAGAGCTGGGACCCCATGTGCCCTCTGCTCTACACTGCCTCCCATATTATATTCATCGTTATGTTTTATGCTTTGTGTTTTTCTTGCATAGCTTGTAACCACATTTCAGAGGGACAATTCCTCTTAAAGTCCACAGTTCTTGGCCCGAGGATAAAGTGAATGGATCTCTCTCCCTTGCTGGGGGAACTGGGGGCTTCCGTTATTGCCTGTAGGAGGTGAAAATCAAATCATGCACATCATTCAGAAGTTGTACATTTTATTTTTATTTTTTCTTAAGGATGAAGAGGAAGAAATCAAACTGGAGATAAATATGCTGAAGAAATATTCTCATCATAGAAATATTGCGACATATTACGGTGCTTTCATTAAAAAGAGCCCTCCAGGACATGATGACCAGCTCTGGGTAGGCACCTGTTTCCTTGTGTTCTGTGGGGTGTCCTCCTAGGTTGTATTAAAAGGTCCTTAAGGACTTTCCAGAGGGAGGAGAGGGAAAAGCAAAGAAAAAGGGGTAGTGGCTGGTATCTTTCTTGGCCTCTTGGTTGGCATTACACTGAATGTTTATTTTGATGTTGATTTCACATTGCCTGAAAAACAGTTAACTTTGTGTTTCACAGATAACATGGCACGTTTTAAAAGGAACATAACAAAATAGCGAGGAAATTTGGAGCTTGAAAATAAAAGCAATACAATAAAAACTTTATGGATATTAATTAATATGGAAGCCAAGTAAATGCATCTTTCTTTATCACCTGGAAGTGAGAGACAAATTGCAAGAAAATGAACTTACATCAATAATTTATTAATAATATTAATGATAAAAGTTTATAAAAAACAGTTCATTCCAGGGGAATTTCCAGAATTGATACATTCAACCTTATCTCTTATTAAACATATTTATATTCAAGAAGATGAAACTGGGATACTGTCAGATCTGTGTTTATCGCATTCGTTAGCAAAGGTACTGGACTTAGAAAGCAGGAAGAGAGATACTTTTCCGAACTTTTAAAAAAGCCATTGTAGAAAATTTGTGAAATTAAAAAATTAAAAGAGAAACAGTTGCTTTTATTTCCATTGCCCAAATCCCATCATAGTTAAAATTTTAGAATAGGTCAATTCAATTCATTTTCTAGGTATTTTAAAAATATACTCGTGTTCATATTGTTCAAACATTTAGGTATAGTAAAGAATGAATTTTTAAAAAAATTATTTGTTTAAAAATAGCATTTTCATACTAAATTCAGTTAACATAGTTGAAAATCACAGTATGTTTTTAAAACATCTTTGACTCTAGTGGATGAGAACTAATGTTAGTGAGTATATTAGATTTCTGATCACTGGGCACTGGTTAGGGACAGAATGGCTCTCCCGTGCCCATGTGCTTCGGAGTGAGAAGGAGCACTTCCCTGCACTGGAGGGTGTGCCATAGAATATGGGAAACTCCTGGACCAAAGATACGAATGTGAAATAAGTCGGCTGGTGAAATGCTCTCAAAAATTTGGAAGCCTCCAAAATGACCGTGTGCCCAGATCTCTAGGAAAAGCAAGAGGGGATCAGACTGTGGTTTCCTAGCTTTTCTCTAGTGTGTATGATATCCTCGCTACTTCACAGTGTGTCTTGTCTGCCCTGTAGCTGGTCATGGAGTTCTGTGGGGCTGGCTCCATCACAGACCTTGTGAAGAACACCAAAGGGAACACACTCAAAGAAGACTGGATAGCTTACATCTCCAGAGAGATCCTGCGGGTAAGGCTTAGGCAGAGCTCCGGTGCCCTGCACATGGCCTTGTGTTTCTATTCTCATTCTTCTAGCCCAAAGTGTTTCTTTTCATCAGTCATAACTGTACAGGTTATTCTTTTCGGGACCACTAAGGGCTCTGTGTCACTGGCTGCCTTTGGTAGTTTAAGCTACCTCATGGTTTTGACTCTGGCAAGTATCTAAAGAAAATATACTGAAACAAAAAATAGGTTTTTTTGTTTTTGTTTTTGTTTTTGTTTTTGTTTTTATTTCCCTGAATTCATCTCCAGGTGTTAAAAAGAAATTCAGTAGAGGGGAAGAAAAATAATCGCTAACTATTGTTTTTGTAGGAATCCTGTGTCTAAGCTTATGAATCAGTATTAATGGTGCTGAAGCTGGCTTTTTAAACCCCTTTGTGGACTTTGCCATTAACTGTCCACATGTGTTGCATTGTTTATGAGGAAAAGTGTAATGTTATTTACAGTCAGTTGTAAAGCTGGCTTATGATCTTAGAGTAAGTTTCTGAACTACTGTTTTAGCAGCTTCCAAGTGATTCCTTTCAGTAGTAGAGCGATCCTAACAGCAGGTTCTTAATCCAGGCAGAAGGTTCTTAATATTTCATATTTGAGAAGTGCACGTGAGTTGCCAGTGTGCCTCTTTGCTTTGGTCAGCTAGCATGGGTTTTCTCACCACTTTATTTACCCCTATATTACATACTTAAATGACTTGGCTGGATTTCATTTACTCACCACATTTTAAAAAGAAAGACTATAGGGTTAAACTAGAATAATCTTATGCCTCTCTCACTAATACAAAATTGTTACTTTATTTTTTGATTGTAGGTAAATTTACCCCACTTCTTATATTTAAGTTTCATAGAGGAGTGCAGGTTTAAAAAATGCCATCGAGAATTCATAAAGATAAGTCCTAACTTCTTTTTATTTAGATATTTTACAGAGCCCTTGGAAACAGACCATTCTCTTAAGAAAACTAGTTGGAGTGAGGTGGCAGAACCAACTTTTTATAATCACACTCAAACTTCATTATTAAAACACCAGGGTTCTGTCTTTTATGGTTATTCTAGGAAGCAGAGCCAGAGGTGAGAAGCTAAACACTGGCCCGCCCCACTGTGAGGGAGTTCACTGAAAAGCCAGTCGTGTTCATTGTGTTAATAATCAGCGCCCGGCCCAGTAGGCAGGAGTGGGCGCTGGTGACACTAGAGTCAACAGGCTTGAGTTCGAGTCCTGCCTGTGCTGCTCATCCACTGCCCGCTCCTGGCAAAGTCCCTCAGCCTCGGGACTCATTTTCCTCATCTGTAAGTTTAGGTACCAGGCCTATGAAGGGAGGACATCATTATGCGAACTAGATGAGTTAGCGTACATGAGTCATTTAATGTAACATGTGAGTACACAACTAGTTATCAGTAAATGTTAGTTGGCCTTATCCTGTTAGAAGCACACACGTACGCGCACCACTCCTATATGTCATGCCAGTGTTGGATTTCTAGGTTTTAGTATAAAGATCTGAGGCTCAAATACATTTCAGTCATCAAAGACAGTTTTACATATTTTTATACGCACAGGCAAGCATTGTTTACCTATTGTATGTAATAAGTATATTTAGCTGTTTTACCACCATTGATCTCAGGCAACATCTGAAAGAAGCCTAGGTTGTTTGAGGCCCCTGTTGGACCTCAGTGCAGGAGCTTAATGGACACCTTTTTGAGATGCAGCTAGTGTTTTCTACCTCAGTGGAACACATTTCCTTAATCTATGTTTCATCTAGAATGGGAGTTTTTCTTAGGACAAAAGTCTAAACAAAGTAAAAACAAAAAAAGCCTCCAGAAGAGTCAGTGTAGCAAGCCAGGGTGTGTTTATGACAGCAGTTACTGGAATCGGTTTGGGTGAAGAGTGCCTTCTGGCGGGAAAGAGGCGGGCGCTCATGGGGAAGGAGGGAGTCCCCCCGAGTGGGTCCCATGGGTTTTTGAAGACATGATTGGAGCAGTTAGGGTCGATAGTGGCAGAGCCAGAGGTGGGAAGCTCTTGAGGGTGTTAGATTCAGATGCTGCTATGCAAAATCCCTCAAAAGGTTGAGTCTCGAGCATGCAGGCCACAGACGTCAAGTGGGAAAGCTCTCCAGGGCCAGCCCACTGAAACCCGGAGACTATAAGGTTTATCAGCAAAGCCAGCATGCTCATCTCGCCCACTTCACAGCCACAGTCTGCATGGCCACAGTCTGTACGGTGGCCTACAGGTTCTGGTAGACGCCAACATTTCCTATCGAGTACAGGCACTTAACGGCCTTATGTAGCTGATAGAGAGTGGCAGCGTTTGACTACTCCTTGTTCTGTGTCCATGATGAGAGAGCTACAGGAATGTTTCTTACGTGGACTGCTCGTAAGGAGCAAGAGGCACACAGGCCATATTTGTTTGAGAAGAGTGGATACTTGTGTTTGTTGCTAAAATAATCCTATAAAAGTGTAAGAAAGAGGTCTGTGAAAGAGAATAAAAATTTAACTGAAGTCGTAAAAGTAGGAATTATGAAAGAATTGAGGAAGCTGCATTTTCTTTTTTGGTCTCTTCTTTTGATGTTCAAAGTTATTTCACGCTGAAAGGAGGGACTTTCTTCTTAACTATAGCACTAAGATACCATATATTTTTAGAGCTTTTTTTCCATAGTCAGTGCTTTGTGGTATAACACTGCACATCCTGTGTGGTGGAAACATAAACAGAGCCATCAAATAAGCTCCCTTCTGTTTCACAGGCAGACTAGTAACCGATTGACTAGAAACCCCCATGCTAGAAATCTTAGTGTTCAGAGCTTTGTTGTCGTTAACCCCACAAAAAAGTAAATAGGAAAACCAAACCCTTAGGTCTAACCTACCCTTTTGGGATTTCAGAGTAAATAGGTTGCTTGTGTCTTGAGGAGGTGGGCTATCAATTTGGCTTTTTTTTAGCTAAAATGGAATAAGTGAGCTGTGAGAACGGTGCATTTTTGTCTTTTAGACCATCTAGATGCCAAATTTGGTTTTGTTCTTGCACTACCTCTTGTAAGAGACATGCTTCTGGGCTTCCTTCCAGACACAAGGTCATCAAGTAGCACTATGAGCCAGTAGGGTTTATCTCCTTGGGAAAGAAATGCTTTGAACTCAAAGCTCTAGTGATGGCAGAATTGGTTTATGCTTGGGGTGGAGGTGGGGTTGATCAACAGTTAGCAGTTTGTCACTGTGTGCTAGGAAAACTAGGCAGTGTCCCAGGGCCAGACTTTAAACCTCACTCCTGCCCTTCGCTTTTCCCCTGGGATGTGTTTAGTTCAAATATACTGTGGGATCACCCACTGAAAGATAGATGTGTAGCGTGGGAAAGGAACCACCCTGCACACAAATAGCACAAATTATAGCAGAGAAAGTGCGGATGGTCATCCACAGCATATCTTCAAGGGGCAGCTAGAAAGAGTCGATGATGCTCACGGGGACGGAGACCCGTTGGGACCGCGGGCGGGTATGCCTCTCTCCAGTGTCGTGGCTGATGTCTCCCTGGGGACGTGCACTGAGACTGACTCTTGTGTTCTAAATGCGGCACACAGAACCTTTCGGCACGTATGCTTTGCCATGAGGGCTGCGCTCTTGGTTATTCACTTACAGCAACACAAGACCTAAAATTCAGATCTGTCTTCTTATTCAGGGGCTGGCACATCTTCACATCCATCATGTGATTCATCGGGACATCAAGGGCCAGAATGTGTTGCTGACTGAGAATGCAGAGGTGAAACTTGGTATGTGATGGCTGTGCCACATGATCTCACACTTGTATTTGGCACAGACTAGCAACACTCCCTGCCCCATTTGTATTTAGCTAAAAGTTCAGTCTTACCAGTGTTTTCTGTTTAACGTGAGAAATGGGCTTATTGCTTAGCCTGGCTCCACCTCCCTTCCCCAGTGCTTCTCCCCTCTGCTCCGTTCTCCATGTGGTAGACAGAATAATGTCTAAATCAGATCATGTCACTTTCCTGCTTAAAGACCATTAATGGCTTCCTGTTTCACTTTGAATAAAATCTACATTTTTACTGTGGCCTATAAAAAGCCATAGCCTCTGCCACTTTCCAACCTCATTTTGTGACCCTTTTCTCTTCTTTCTCAGTCACTCATTCTTTAACGTCCTTGGGACTTGCCTGGGGCCTTCCTACATACTCTTCCCCAGTTTCAAAGTTGCATTTTTTCCTCATCCTCAGAAGCCTTCCCTGACCCCTGGTCTGTGCTGAGTCCCACTGCTTGTTTCCTCCATAATACTAATCACAATTTATAATTCTCTTGCTATTTGTTTACTTATATTTCTGACTCCTTTACCAGAATATAAGTTTTGGGAGTGCAGCGACTAAGATTGTTTTATTTGCAAAAAGATTCTTATCCAGCGTCCAGCATAATGCCTTGAATGTAGTAGGTGCTCAGTAAACTATGCATGGGTGGATGAATGAAGCCTGGAGTGTCTTCCTGGAGAATATTTTATAGTGGTTCTTTTATATTTCTGGTTTCCCATACCTGGATCTGAACTTGTTACCATTCTACTTTCATATCATGGTTCTCTCAGGTTTTAAAACAGAATTAGCATTAAGTGTCCTTCCACTAAAGCACCACACACACAAAAAATTCTTTATGGTTATAAGAATCTAATCCACCTTTCAAAAATCTTAGGCCCAGTAGTTAAAGATCGTTATGACTGCTTTCTTGCATAGTGCCTGCATTTACTGGTCATCTGTGGAGGGACAGTCTGCCCAATCAGAAAGTCCTCCCAAAGCTAAGATAGGAGGCCCTCAGATTATTCTCATTCCAAACAACTCAGCAAGTTTTGTGTGCTCCCTGCTTCGGCTCCCTGGTGCTAGGCCTGTGACAGTCCCTCGGTACTTGCTTGCTGGTGGATTACAGCTGTCCAGGTAGCAGTAACTGGCGTCAACTGCCCGGCCTGTGTCTGTCTCAGGGGCATTGGGCATGTGCTTCTGCGCCCTTACCAGGTGATTTTCTGAAGGTGTTCTGCAGACAGAAGTTCAATTTGTGTCCTCTGGAAGTAATTTTAGCCCTCCACTGGCCCTCTGCACTCCTGCTGGTTGGGGGTAATGACAGTGTATCTAAGTGGCAGTGTCAGTGAGCACCCCATTGCAGAGTATGGTCTTGCTGCCAGTTCTGCCTCCCTGTAGACCACCATCATCATTCACTTGGGTGGGATGTAGGAGTGAAGAGTCCATAGAAGTCCTGGGGACTGTGGGAGTGTTTCCTAGTGCATGTGTGATTTAGCTTGACTTTGTTTATTTAATTCAGTACTGTGTTCTTTCCAGAGAACCTTTGTGGATTTCTTCTCTTTCTGTGGTTAATGCTGCTTAAGACGCTAAGTCACATAGGCTCTCAGTCAGTTCTCCTGAAGTTGGGGCTTTCTGTGACCTGATCTTGATCTTGTTTGTGCCGGCATGTTCCCCGAACGCACTGGAGGTCCGATTCATCCAAAAGTCCCCCTGGTGGTCACTGTTGGGGAAGCTCGAGTTGGTGGCTGGGTCCAGGCCTCCCAGGAGCCTTCAGACTGGTAGAGGATGATGCTGGCTTTGCACTGAAGAGTTGCTCCTTGTAGTTTGTGGCCTTGAGGAGCCGGCATGTCCATGAAGTATCATTGTTTTCGTTTACTCTGCAGACATCTCCTCATATTTCTTGGTCTTATATTGTACTTGTCTGTTAATTGTGTTCTACTTTCCCTCCTTCCCTCCCCCTCCCAGTGGATTTTGGTGTGAGCGCTCAGCTTGACAGGACCGTCGGCAGGAGAAACACGTTCATAGGCACGCCCTACTGGATGGCTCCTGAGGTCATCGCCTGTGATGAGAACCCAGATGCCACCTATGATTACAGAGTAAGAGGCGCCTGCTTGTGCAGCCTTCACTGGGTCTTTGCTGTTCCTGGGGGTGAGGGTTCTGCTTACAAATCCTGCACCCCTTGTCCCTTCCTGCCTCCTCAATGGGAATGACATGGGCACCCTGTCGCAGGTACAGATTTGCCAGGATGGTATTTAGATGCCGTCATCTTTCTGTTCGTTCTGCATCACCTGTCTTCTCCTTACTGAGTAGTACTTTGTTGTGCATAGAACTTTTTGTCATGAGACAATTCATTGCTTCTGCCCTGTTTGCTGTCCTCTTTAACTTGAAGACTATATTATAACCAGATATTTATTTTTTAAAAACAGTGTCAAAATGTATAGAAGTAGTTTCATCTATGTGAAGTTTTTAGTCTTGTTCTAGAGCATCCTGGCTTTGAGTTGATACACAGTTATTAGAGTGACCTCTAGGGGCTTGTATCAGTAATGCATTTTTTGATCCTGATGGAAAACCCATATTTGAGCATCAGGCTCAGGTTGAGTATGTTAACAAAACTGTTAAAAAAATTTCCTTGACTTATTTAATGAGTCAGAGTAGTTAATGTACCTGATAATGATGTTGATAATTGAGTTTATAGCTTAATATTCTGCAGTGCATTTCAGTATTTATTACAAATACTCATTTAATGAAGCTCAATTTAAGCCCAGGACATAGAGGAATTTTTATGTTTTTATTTGCTGAAGTATTTTAAAATACGTTATAGACTTTATGACTTTTCACTCTTTAACACATCATTCTACATCTCCAAAATTTGAAAACGTTTTTCAACATACCAAAATTATCTTCAAACATAAGTAAATTAAAAATAATTTTAAAATATAAAATCCATACTTAGACCCAGCTAGTTTACACCTGGTTTGTCCAAACTGGTATTCAGTATAGGACAAGACATTGTATTTGGTTGTTTGGCCATTGAGTATCTTTTAATTGAGAGTAGTACCCCCCCCCCACTTTTTTTTTATGACACTGACTTGCTGAAGAGGCAGTGTTCTACCCTCTGGATTTGTCTTACTAGTTCTCAATCTTAGCTTTACAATCTTTGTAACATCAGTTAGCTTGTTCCTGTACACTGGAGTGGCTCAATTAGTATCAGAAAAACCTCAGCAAGATCACCTCAGAGGAGATGTGTGGTTGGCATTCAGCAGATAGGGAGCATGGAACATCTCTGCTTACCCCATCAGTGATGCTGCTAAGATCAGTCACTGGGTTAAGGTGGTAAACCCCAACTTTGTACCCGTGTAGTAGAGAAAACTCCATAAAAATAAGGGAGACATTTGTGGGTCTTCCCTTATTCTTGTAATCCAACATGTGTTTGAACTGAGTAACATAATTATAGGTTATTTAGAAAATCCTTAAACTGAGCAACTTTAAGTCATTCCTTTGTTAGGATAGCATATAAACAAAAAGAACACTAATGATAGTAATCATCCATTATCTACTTTTTAAAGAGCTTGTTTGGATTTTAAGAAATTGGCTGGTAAACCTTTATTCATCACCCAGTGTTTTTTGAGAGCCCACTACATGTGAGTTGCAATTCCTGGGGTTCAAAGGTGAATCAAACAAAGATGCCTGCCCTCATGGAACTTGTACTTGAGTGGGGAATAAAGTTAAAATTCGAATTTTAAAATTAATACTTCAAAGGATTCAGAAGGAAAAGATTCTGCACGCGGAAAGGCACTTTATTTACTATTCTGCACGCGGAAAGGCACTTTAAGTTTGAGGGGAGAGTAGAGAGACTTGGCAGCATGATGTGAATCAGCTTACTGTGGTAGATTTTATTAAAAGAGTGCTTTCTAGCCTTTAAACTTTTAACATCTTAATTAAGTTTGAGATGTTAACATAAAACATAAAAATAAGCATAAATCTGATCCAGGAATCTAAATTATTGAATGCTTCTCAAGAATAAAGAAACATACTGAGCAGCAGAGCTTGCAGTAGGCAGTCCGAAGCTTTTACGTGGACCAGCTCTAATTCTTTCTAATTAACAAGTTATCTTTATTTTATTATTTTTTTGAAGGTAATCTTACAAATCTGTATGTGGTTTTTATTTCCTGAAACTTCCTTTCAGTTTATACACCAAAGAATGCATTTATATCATTTGCATGAATAACTAGCAATGGTAAACTAGTGACCTCATAGCTGACGTACTGCCCATGACATACTGTTCTGTTTTTGCAGAGTGACCTTTGGTCTTGTGGCATCACAGCCATTGAGATGGCAGAGGGCGCGCCCCGTAAGTAACGGTCTTTCCTTTATAGCCCCATTGTTATGTGTAACTTAAACTTAGTCTCAGGGTTTCAAAAAGAACAGCTTCACGGATAAAGCCTTTCCTGGTAGGGCGTTTAGATGGAGGAATCATAAATGCAATGAAGTTTTAGATGTAAAAGAAACCCTGACATCTACTATTCCTTTTGGAGAGCTCTCTGAGGTCCGTAGGCTACATTATCCTTTATTAAAGTTGTATTCTGGTGTCAGATCTGAAATTATGGTGACATCAAATAATAGGCAATGATTTTTCTTTTTACCATTTGAACTTTTTACTATTCAGTGAAACCAGTCCTAACACAGGAAATTTTTAATTATTACTTGTGTTGTGACTTGACAAATAGAGGCAAACGTTTTTATCTTTAGAATATTTTTTTGTATTACTTATGAAATTTTGCTTTGGATCAAATCAATGACAACTTCATAAAATTCATTTTTCATTAGGGACAGGGTAGAATTGCATACAACAAAGGAAAAAACAGCATTTTCTGCTAGACACCCTCCCCCCCCCAAAAAAAAAAACCTATACACAAAGAATGTAAAACTGGTACATAGTTGTTGCTGAATAAATTTTTGTTGAATGAATGGAAAAAAATTACCAACAGCTAAGAATTAGTTGCAACACAGAAATGGACGTCTATCTTGACCACCATACGTTCGTTCTCTCGTGGTAAATGCCGAGCAGCTGAGACGGGGAAGTGTTGTCCGATCCTTTATTTCAGTTTCCTTTCATAGTGGGAATAGTATTATCTTTTTCTTTGGCTCCGTTTCTCAGCTGCCTTGTAAGATACTAGTGAAGGTAAATAAACACACGAAAATGCACATCGCCTATTGTACCATAACGTTGTGTACTTGTGTACCTAACATGCCTTTATTGGGCAAGTGATAGAAGTACAAACAGTAATTGCACAGAATTCAACAGTTCTGTTTTACTCTAACAGTTTTGCTGTTTTTTAGTAATAATACCTATAACAATGAACAGTTGACACTTGTGGAGGACTTAACCATGCTTACTGCTTTCCAGGCATTGTGTGAGTGCCTTTGCAAGCAGTGTCTCAACAACCCTGTGAAATGACATTCTTTTCATTGTAATCATCTAGATGGTTTAGAAGCCTAGGCTGTTGACTCTTTGAAGACTTTGAATCAGTATTTATCTTTGACCATGAAAACTCTCCAGTGTCTATCTGAAATTGTATATTCTTCTTGTTGCTCCCATTCTGCTTTTATTTTGCTGTGTTTAAATGGGGGAATTTAAGGCGTGCCCTAGGGCTCACGACTAGATGTTTAGACTGCTTGACATAAGGTATATCAACCACATGATGGGACAGAGCATTTGATATTGTGAGTGAACCCTAGAGATCAAGAATGAGTAAAATAAGTGCCATACTGACACGACCGTCTCCTCTCCTCAGCTCTCTGTGACATGCATCCAATGAGAGCACTGTTTCTCATTCCCAGAAACCCTCCTCCCCGGCTGAAGTCAAAAAAATGGTAAGCTATGTATGGTTTTTGTTGTTGTTCTTTTCCTTTAAAAAAAATATTGTTCTTTTTTTAGTTTTACTCTGAGACATAGTTCTGGCCATTCTAATTCATAAAGAACACAAGAGCCAGGGCCCCCACACCACCAGTTAAAAGTGTATTGATTTTTTTTGTTTTGTTTTTCCATGATAAATTCTCTTTGAATTACAAAAAAGTGATAAGTGGCCATGTGAAACACCATAACATGGTTAAAGAAAACTTTTCTGTTTTACTATTTCAGCACACTTTCACGTGTATATATTTCTAAACATTTTCACACTAAAAAATGAAGCTGTATTGACTTACAGTTCTTCAATTGAAACAGGCTTTTAAAATTATGTCATTTACTGTAATTATTGCAAATCTTTGAAGCTAGGTGTATCCTCTTTCATTCTGGAACACATTAAAGGAAGGGTCTGCTATCTGTGGGCTGCCATCTTTCTCCCTGCGGCTCCCATTTATTTGCTCAACAAAAATCTGTCATGGACGGGGATGATGATGACGTTCACTGACAAAAGCTCTAAGACTTGCACCAGTGTGAGAAAGGGCTGATTTGATTCAATTTCAGAATCTATAAGGGGGTAGGACAGTTGCTGTGCTTTCAGGCTGAGAATTTTGCCCACTTGTCTCTCTTGAGCTCTGAACCCTTTCCCATCAGTCTGGTTGCACTCAGTCTTCTCCAGCACGTGGGAGAAGCTTTTCTCCTTTCCCTGTTCCTGTTTCCCTGAGCTCATCATCTTTCTTACTCATGCCAACCTGCCATGGTTTTGTTTTTCTTTTTCTTTCTGAAATTATTCTCACTCTAGTTTCCCAGTTAGTATTGTCTCCTCTTAGATTCTTGACTCTAACTCTGAAGTAGGCAGCAGCCCTCAAGTTCGAGCCTTCTCCTTTTCTGGGTTTGGTCTCCTCGCTGTTCTGTCTGATTTTTTCTTCTTGGTTGCTCATCTTCTGATGTTCTGTACTTTCCTTTTCCCATCTGTGGGTATATATTCACATACACGTTTTCACTCTTGTTTCTTTCACACTTCTCCCTGTCCCTCACCGTTCTTTCCCCCAACACACTTCACTGTATTTTCCTCACCTTTTGTATGCTGACAGGGTTTTCTCATTATTTTTATATTGTCTTCAACCACATTCAAATCCAGATTACTGCAGTTGTCTCCAGTTTTGGGAGAGGCTTTTTAAGGCCATGCAGTTGCAAAGATATTAGCCCCAGTGGTGTCCTGCATTAAAATATGACAGCTGTGGGCATCCATGGTTGGCCAGCCCTTCGGGAACTAATGCATGTAGTGGACATCACCATGGAGTGAGCTGTGGGGCTGAGGTAACACTTTATCTGGCTCAGGCCAAACTAAATACTGATTTTCCCTTATTTTTCTGTCAGATATTATTAAAAGGAGTTTATGCTCTATCTTCAGAGTGCTTCCCAGTTTACAAGTCTTGTCAGCTGGCCCCACTCCGATGATTCTGTGCACTGCTTGCAGTTTGGGGTTAATCGCTGTGCGTTTAATATAGTGTCATGAGACAGGTGCAGATGACAACCAGCTCTTCCTGTGTTCTCACACCGAAATTTCTCTGACTAAACCTGATTAGATGCACTTTCATCTGTTCACACCGTTGCTGTCATTTTACCCAAGTTTTCTAAAGGGACAGGATGCTTACAGACATAAAGGCCTCCTTCCTGTGTGGATGCTGTCTCCTGTCTGCCACGTGTGAGCTGCTGCTACTGCTTCTGCATCTTCAGAAGCTAATCGGTGACCGGTGACCTCATCCAGCAGAACATGATAGTTGATTGTAAAGCATATAATACTGTAGACCCTTGATTCCCAGTTGTTCATTTGTAGATGTAGGATGTGAGAATCCCTTTGGAATCTTTTTAATTTAAGGCTCCAGCCTCAAAGTTCCTGGTTTGTTAGGTCTGAGGAGTGACCCAGGGATTTGTATTTTTAAGGAACTCCCGGAATAATCCTTGCAGGCAGTGGGGTTTGGGCGTCTCTGTGTTAGATGCAACTGCCTGGACTCCCCTAGGTTCCTCATTAACCATGGAATAATGAAACAGTGTCCCTGAATGACTTTGGGGCTCTTTCGTGAGCCGACCCTGACCTATATTTCTGTTCTTTTCCACTTTTCATACTGGCATCAGAAAACAATTCATTATTCCAAACACGTGTTTGGTTTGTTCATGTTGCCTTGTTCACTCTGGAATGATGGCCTATCTCCATCTTTGGCATGTCAGAGGCCCCCCTTTTTCTCTATGTGTCTCCCATTGTAGCAGCAGCTCTTTTTTTCTTCCTCTGTAAGTTTGATGACACATCTGCTATTGTGTGTACATAAGTTTCCTCCACTTTATTTCCTGTATGTATTTCTTATAGAACCTAGGATAAGCAAATGTCAGTCATTGATCCATAAATATTTGTTGAATTGAAAAAAATAGTGAGTTTGAACAGAAATATAGGACAATGGAAGCAATACTTAAAAGCGGTGAAGTGATTGGAAACAACCGAACTAGTTTTCTAACTCACATTTTTAAGGATCAAATAACTCATTCATTCAACAAAAATTTATTACCTACCTTTTGTGGTCTGCCAGTGGTTACTGTTGGGCATTACTGAAAAATTACTGACAAATGAAAAATAGGAACCAGTTTCTGACCTGTGTGCAGTCTGTTCTGTGCAGAAAGCCCTGGAAGAAAGGCTCCTCATTTGGGGTGCAGTGTTGCTGGGAAAGGCTTAGCAAAAGAGAACGATGCCTGAGCTGGGTCTCAAATACATGATGGGTGAGAGTGTCTGGGCCAGTGCTGAGAGTAAAGGTCATCATGAGCCAGACACTGAGAAGCAGGCAAAAATCTAAGTGGGTGGTCAGGCAGTGACATAGTCATCGCCCCCTCAGAACTCTTTCCACCTGCGGTAATAAGAGAAAAGTCATCAGGTCATATGTGTGGCCCAGGCAGAGAACTGATAAATAAGCCAATTGGAGACTCTGATTGAAACGTCACATTAACAGGTTCAAGAGCCCCAGCATTTGGTCACTAACTCGGCTCCTTATCTCTGTGTCTGTCCATGTCTCCTGGCTTCCAGACATCTATCCTGTCTGCCTTTGTTTTCGCAAAACGTGCCCTTCACCCCCTCACCTCCTCCACCCCTATGATTAAATGATTAACGAGCAACATTAGATTTAAACCCAGTTCATTTATGCCGGACTCCTTCACGGCTCTCTGTGGTGTGTCATTGGTGATACAGTGCGACTCTTAAACCACGTGTGAGCCATGCCCCTGGCCCTGCGCCCTGGACTCCTGTCTCCACCCACATCGCTGCTTTGCCCTCGTGGGGCGTGCACGGCAGTCCAGAGCCCCTTCTTCGTTTTCAGGCTCATACGTTACTGATGTTTTGGAGCCTTGCTCTTGGTGGTAGAACTTTGATGATCTTTTTTACTTCTTCTTACAGGTCAAAGAAATTTTTTAGTTTTATAGAAGGGTGCCTGGTGAAGAATTACATGCAACGGCCCTCCACCGAGCAGCTTTTGAAACACCCGTTTATAAGGGATCAGCCAAACGAAAGGCAAGTTAGAATCCAGCTCAAGGACCACATAGACCGAACCAGAAAGAAGCGGGGAGAGAAAGGTATTCAGCCTGTTTTCATTTTCACCTTTAAAACATTTTTTTGTGGGGGATGGGTTTACCAACTAGAATAGGCTACTGCTTTCCCACCCCCGAGTGTGTGCTCACTTGGCTGGTGTCTCTACCCTGCACAGCAGCAAGCAGCCTAGGTTCTTGCCTGGCTTCAGGCAGTGTCAACGAGCTGCATGGGTACTGCCAAGCTGACACCACTTTACACGGGCGTCATGGCTGGTCACAATGGCGGGACACTTGTTTTTTCTGTGCTTTTTCCTTCATTATGGACGTTATTTTCTACACCTGTCGCTCAGGGTTTATTCAGCATCGGCTGTAAACATTGTCATCAGTGTGTTCACATGTTACTGTCCTGCTCCAGAATCCCCAGGGTTTCTTCCTGCTGTGCTCCACCTGACGACTCTTAACCACTGTGCAGCATTAGCACACACTTATGCTTGCGGACAGATGTTGCTTTCTGTTCCCAGAATCTTGGTTTGATAGCTTTACGTGTTCTGTGTCCACCTGTCTGGCATGTCCTCTGTTTCCTTCCATCCCTCAAGGTGCAGATCCAGCTTCATCACCAGCTTCACAAAAGCGTCTTCTCCGAGGCCTCTAGCCCTCATTAATCTTTCTGTTCTGTGAATTCTTACAGTAACTTTACAGAACAGCATCTGGATAACTGGGATCTCGTTAATGAATTTTTTTTACACTAAAATTTCGAGGCTAAGGAAGAAACGAAAAAGAGCTGAGTTCAAGGCAGTAGAAGGATTGGTCACAGCCATCTCTGGGGGTCTGCACTGAGCTTTGCATGTTCTTTCAGTCTTCACAGCTTCTGTTTTCTGAGTTAAGTTCCCATTGATGCTCATAATGGATTTTTTGCCCTCTGATAGTCAGTCAGTCATAAAAGTAACTAACCTTTGTACACTGAGCTATGCAGTTGTAGTAGAGTGAACTAAAGTTTGCAATAAAATAAAGCTCTTTTGGGAAAAGGTTATTTGTGTATTGATGAGACCAGTGGGGCACTTCACCTTCATTTCTTTCAGTCACAGCAACTTCTTTTTTTCTCTTTGCATTTATTCACCTTCCAAATATCTTCAGCCTCTCGTCAGTAATTAATAGTACATCATACAAAATTTTAAACCTAACAGTGCCTATTTAAAGGATTCCAAAGATTATCTCAGTTGGAATCTCCTTTGGAAGCTAGCCCATTTTTATCTAGCATAGAACTAATGTCTTATATATAAGGACTGATAAATTTGTAGATATGTAAATATATATTTATATTTGTACATGATACAGATTGAACCGTAATTTAAGTTCTCAGTCTCGTTTTTTCTGACCAGGAAACTAATTTTAAACTTACATAATTCTGAAAAAAGTTAGAAGTGTACTTTTTGTTTATGAACAGACTTTTATAAATTTCTTCAGCCTTTCCAGTTTTGATTGCTCTGTGGAGTGAAATTGCTCCCTGAAAGCCAGGTACTGACATTAAGTACAGGGTCTAATAAAGTGGACTGTTAACTTTTGGGAAAATGGTATAAAACCTATTAAAGTGAAAATAAGTTATTCATGTTGAAACTTTTGCTTAGTCTGATCAAAGTAGAGTAGTTTTTGTCTCCTTTTGCTGTTTCATCAGTTTTTCCCTGGTTTCAACTTTATAATTTGGGGGAACATTTGCTTTTGTTTTTTCTGCTCTAAGTACCTAATGCTTCACTTTTTTTTTTCAGGCCAACAGACTTTTCTCTCTGCTTCACTCTTACGTGGATCTCTGAATGTTAAAAATAACCAGATACTTTTAGTTTTTTTAGTTTGGGCAGTTAAATCTCTTCCTTTTGAATTTTAGCTTCAAAGTGGACTTTCTGGATTTGCTGATGTGGTCAAGCCGCTTGTATGTCCAGGGCGCTCTGGAGCCCATCTCCTCAGCCCCTTAGCAGTGCCTCCCACACGGGGTTGTCTTGAATACAACAAATCTACTCTTCACCAGCCAGGAAGGCTAGCCTGGGGAATTGTCACCACTCACTGTGGGAACTTGGTGTTGTGCTCTACCTTTCCCCAGGGTCTCCATACCCACTGTTATTTTCACAGAGAACATACTGTGTATTTTCTGCTATCACGCTTTTGGAGGTACCTGCCAGTACATGCACGTGTCATGATTTGCGAGCTGTCATGTTTATCTTGTCCTTTTTTAATAGATGAAACTGAATATGAGTACAGTGGGAGCGAGGAGGAAGAGGAGGAGGTGCCCGAGCAGGAAGGAGAGCCGAGGTAACGGTGCCGCCTGCCCCGCCTTGTGAAGAGATGTGCTGGCGTCAGAAGACTCCTGTAGTGTGAAGGAGTCTTAAGTTACTGCGAAAGCGCCCTGATAGCCTCCCTTCTCTTTCTTTTGAAAGATCCCTCTAAGCATTTTTCCCCTCCGGGTCCTCTTACCCAAATGGTGCTTTACCAAGATCGCATCACAGCCCCTCCGCAGTCACTTAGAAATGTGGGGTTGCTTTTGGTCCTGGGGGAGGGGTAGGAGCTGGCCACGGGCATTTATTAGTCCAGGAGGTGCAGATGGCAAATGTCTCAGAGTGTGTAGGACATCTCTGCACACAAAGAATTGTCCTCCTCAAGGGCTCATAGGGTGTCTACTGAAAAACAGTGCAGTCTTTCCCAATACTTTGTTTGTTTTCCTCTTCCCATAAGTGTGGTGACCAGCATTTCATTTCTTCTATTAGGATATGTTCTGTCTTGATCCATTTCATAGTCTGTGTTTTGGTTGTCTCTGGCTTCCCAAGGTTCAGTGAAGCAGAAGGTTGAAAAGTTGGTAGCACGAACCTCATAGTAACTAATCAAGGAATAGAAGATTTAAAAATGCTAATATTGTACCTGTTGTAGCTACACATGACTTATTGGACAAAAGGAGGGTGGAAGGGCTTGTTGGAAGACATTTAGGGACCATGTACAGAGATTGGGAGTTTAAAGAGAGCAGATCAAGAGATGCGAGAATTTCTTGCAAAAACTCTGTAATGTCTGTTATTCTTACATAGGAGAAGATTTGAATCCACTCGAGGCTAAAACTTTGAATAATTTGAACTGATTTCATGAGCAGTGCAGTTCTATTTGGATAGGAGCATGATCTCATGAAAGAGGCTGTTTAAGGGGGCTCATCTGCCATGTTACTCTGGCTGTTTTGGAAGTGGAGAGGTGACTCTGGCAGGGAGACCAACTGGGAACAAAGCTATTTACCCTCATTAGTGGCTGATTCTTGGGACACACTTGGGCCCAGCTGCTGACCCTGGAAGTGAGGAAAGTGAGAGGGAAGTGAGAGGGAGCACATGGCAAAGCTCTACGGCCCAGAGGGAGATAGATGGTGAGGGTCATACTGCTCTTTCTGCCCTGGCAGACCCAGAACATGACATTGCTTTTCCTGATAGGAAATGAGGCTCAGAGAGGGGACTGACTGTAGAAGAGGATGGTTTCAATGATCATTTTAGCGTCTGAGTTGATGTGAGAATCCTAAGAGAGAGAAGTCTTGTCAAGCAGATGTCCAGAGAAGTTTAGGATATTCATGAAACAGATGGAAGAAGACTATTGGATGGAGATATAGTTGTTTCCATGGGTTTCTTAGTTGAATTTCGAGTGGGAGGGACTCACTGAGGGAATGAATGTGGAAATGGTGCAGCATGTGGGGCTGCCATTGCCGCCCAGAGCATGCCCCTGACAGCGCCGCTTCCTCCCACAGCTCCATTGTCAACGTGCCCGGCGAGTCCACCCTTCGCCGGGATTTCTTGAGACTGCAGCAGGAGAACAAGGAGCGCTCTGAGGCCCTTCGGAGACAGCAGCTCTTGCAGGAGCAGCAGCTCCGGGAGCAGGAGGAGTATAAAAGGCAGCTGTTGGCGGAGAGGCAGAAACGGATCGAGCAGCAGAAGGAGCAGAGGCGGCGGCTGGAAGAGGTAGAACAGGGAAGATGCCCAGCTGGTTTTCTCCTCCTTCATTCCGGCTGGTAGCCAGACCCCCACAGGACTGTTTCCTGTGGACTCCTGAGCTGGTACCTCCCCGGCTCAGCTCTCTAGTCGCTCCCAAAGGAGAGAAGCGCTGTTGGGCGGGCAGGCCCATGCAGCCCTCGAGGGCAGGGTTATCCTTGCTTGGAAAAACGTCAAGGACCTGCCCACAGTGACTCATGCAGAGGAACAGGTCCCAGTGATGGCCTCATAAGGTTCTGGGAAGGCCATGTCCACTGTGGTTTCATTTGGCCAGCTCAAGCTTGACCTGGTTTCTTTTTACTCCTGGCCTCAGGGTTCAAGTTTCTGGGTACACATTTTTCTGAAACCTCAGTCTTTTTCATAGGAACAAGATTTTTCTACAAATGCTAGTTTGTTTATATATATGTATGTGTGTGTGTGTGTATATATGTGTGTGTGTATATATATGTATATATGTGTATACATACATACATACATACATACATACATACACACACATACATACATACAACTATCTTTTACATATTCATAATGGTAACCACATGCCAAAGATTCAGAACTGAAGTATATAACCTAAAACACACAGAACCAGAG